AATAATAGATTTGGAAGGATCATATTTCACAAGGGAAATAGCTTTAGTTGTAGTGTCCAGTTAAATTGGAGACAGCATTCAAAGTTGTCTAACCCTGTCTATTACACTATAAAAACTGGCATTTTCCCAAAATAGGTCCAGGACATTAATTCCAGGTTAAAGCTACCTGTAAGACACTTGATACCCAGTGGAAATTTACCCAAGTTACTATACAAACTACCTATTTTGGAAATGAAAACAAAGGTTGATATCAACACAAAATGAAACAAATACATGTTTATATGTTCATCTCCTGTGACTAGTGGTAAAATTAATACTGAACTAAAGCAAAATTCACAAAACAAATTTTGAAAACATCAAATGCCTCATAATCCCAAGGAAAATTCATTGAGTGCTCTGTGTGAACTGTTCCTCTCCCCACCCCACCCTTCTCACCTAATTCCACTATTTGAAAATTGAATAAATGTGTTTTTCAGGTCATTTTGCTTCATGGGCTTCCTGTTCAATAGACTGTGAGCCCACCTGGAGGAGGTGGCTCTTCCTCTCAAAATGGAATTCCTCGGACTCATAAATTTCACAGAACATTTCTTTTAGTGTGCATTGATTTTGAGAAATAAAAGACATGGGGAAAGAAACTTTCCATGGTGGTTAGTTTCTTCCTTTACCATTTTGGGGTCCCATCTGGAGCAGTTTAGGATACATGTGCTATTTTCTGGAAACCAAAAAGTTACATTGACACATCTACATTCTCCCCAGGTGCATGGCATTGTCATTTACTAGTTGATCCATAGGTGGGGACTGCCTCATACTCCGTAATGACTCTACCTAAAAATATGACAAAGTATAAAACCATCCCTCCTTCCAGGATTAAATTCAGAATTCCACACTTTCTTCACTTGCTATATAAATACTCCCTGTGAAAGAACAGTGAAGAAAATTCAATAATAAATAAAACTGATTAATTCTAAACTTATCCAGGCATATTGCCTCATATTTAGTACTTTGAAAATACTTTTTACAAACCATGTCTAACATGGTCATGAACCTAGAGCTGGTAAATGGATCCATTCACTCACCTCCCTGAAAAGATATAGGTGGGTTCTACTCCTTTCTATAGAATGAGGCTAGTAAGCAGACTTATGTCTCTTAAAGAAGAAACAATAATTTATGATTTTAATACCAAATGAATGAGGGCTTCCCTGGGCTACCAAGCTACAGCCAGCCACTGCAGCACGAGTTCAATCCCCAGCCAGGGAGCTGACCCACATGACACAGCAGACCTCTCCTGTTTCACCTGCTGCTCCCCTCAGCAGTGCATTTCAGTAGATCTGTCTGTTCTGCTCCCTACTCTGTCTCCCGTGAATCCTCACATGCCCCGCACCTCTGGCCTATACCGCAGTTCTTGTATGTAGAAATAAATCTTTAAAAAAACAAAGAATGAATGCTATCGTTCATGGATGATTTCAAAACTTTGGGTTAATTATTCAATCAAACTTTGATTCTGTAAGTCCAATGAAATGTTAAAGGCAACATAAGTTTCCATAAATGTAATTCAACCGTTCAGTGACAACAAAGGCAGAAAGGAGTATTTCAACTTTTAGAAGTTGGCGTGCTTGGCACATGCTGACTACTCTTATATCCTATGGCTATTAGGCATGGAAACTTTCTATGGAATATCCATTACTCATTCCCTGCACTCTCAACACACAGCCTGTCAGAAAAATGGCAAGGTGGGAGTGGCAAGGGGCGGGGGTGCAGAGCTAGAGGAAGCCCAACTTAAAAGCAGGAAAAGGCAGAGACAAGTCAATTCAGTGACGATTTACACCTCATTTTCAATGGCTTCCTTTCTTTAATTTTCCCTGACTTTTTAAATTAGCAGATACAATGGGCCCAGGAGGAAAACACATGGGAAACAAAAAAACAGAAAAACAAAGCTGTGTAAATCTCTGTGACTCGTACAATAGCTTTTATTTGGCCCTTGTTTTTGAGGATCTGAATGAACTGCGGTCTGTTTTTCATTACTGTCCATCTGGAGCTGTTGCCTGCTTTGTTCAGTAATTTCTGGTCATTTTGGCCTGACGGTGACTGTTTTGTTTTATGTTGCCATATTATACAGAATGAAAGCTGCAGGCACAGCCACCACCCAAGGAAGAACAGTCTTGAAAACAGAGGTTATGTTGAAAGAGTTCCCCATGACCCCTTCTGGAAGGGAGATCAGTGTTTGTCAGGCCAGCCTACTGTACCTATGAGGGTGGAGGTTGTGGGTACAATGGGGGAAACAAAAGCCTTCCTTTTACACACTAAGACAGAGCAAATGTCTCTTGGGTTGATACAGCACAGTTAATTTGATGTCTTTTCTTTTCATCTCAAGGAGACTAGCACATGTACTTTCTCCCACATCATGAGCGCTAACTTGATATAAAATGCCGCATGCGCACCGGAGCATGAAAAATTGAATTCACACCATATCTTTAGAAACAAAAATAAATAAATCTTGTCCTCGTAATATTTTGTTTTAATTACAAAGCTTTCATGTGGAGGCAAAGTTGGCAAATAATTCAGAAGCAAGTGTCTCTGAGAAGACCAAATCAGGTTTGTGTTCACTTATGGTAGACTTGATGCTCGGAGTGATTTTTGTTTGAAAAAGCCACCTCACTCACCCTTTCTCTATCTTGCCTTCTCTTTCTTTCTCTTTCTTGCCTTCTTGTGGTCAAGAAGGATTCAACTTCTGCCTATTACTAAAAGGATCGAAACAGAACATTCTCTCCTAATGCATTATTATTTTCATCTGACGTTGTTTCATCTGACATCATTTTACCAAAACAAAGAAATACACAGCCATGTGCCATTCAGGTTTCATAGAAAGAACAACCAAATTATAACTGGAGCCAGCTCAATTTTTCCCAGAACTGTCTTTTCCTTTTGTTGTCTGATAAGACAATCTAACAGATTTGGAGATATGTGCAGATAATAATCCACCATCTCTTTTTTTTACCACCTTAAAACAAACATTTTTATGTCCCCTAGTCATGACCCAGCTTTGTTCTTGTATGTTATCCAAGATTTAGTCTGCAGCTGCCTATACTAATGTATTCCATCCAAGTCCCCGTTGACAAGTTGTCCTTTGGGGTTCTTATCTACTCTCTTGATTGCAGTCACTGAAGCTCTGGGCTTTCCTGCAGCTTCTTCTTTGACATCCCCCACATGGATGCTATGCCATGACCACTAACCAGCATGTCTGATGCATAACTGACAACCCTCTCCCCCAAACCTAGCAACAGCACATTTGGATTTCTGACCTTAGAAAAGGGTACATCCATCTTTCCCAACAATTTAACATAACTCTGGCTTCATTCTGTGCATCTGTTTCTTTTACCTTTACAAAAAATATTCAATTTTACCCTTGAAAATTCAAAAATTCTCATGGTAATCCCTTTTTTCTTTCCCTACTAGTGAGGGGTAACCCTTTTCATTTTCTTCGTAAATGTGAATTTCAAATGTACATTGTGTTTTTCTCCCTCAGGTTTCTCCCCTTTACAATTTATTTTCACTCACTTTTATCACTATTACTTTTCCAAAATACAGAATCATATGGTGTCAAAAAAACTATTAGGGGCTGCATAGAGAAATGAGCTTAAAATATCCAGGATAACTTTTCAAAAGCCTCCAAAAGTTTGACCCCTTCATTTTACCAGTATTGACACCTGTACATTTTTATATTTCAGTTATATGGTTCTGCTCCATTATAATTTAAAATTCTGTCTCCTGAACCTCAACCTCCTCCAACTTCATTCATTCATTCTCCTTTGCCTCAAAAACATGGACAACCAATATTCTTCATACTCTGTCCAGCCAGTATTTTGCGAATAACACATGTTATAAGTAACTCTGTTATACTCTTATAATTGGTTAATATGTTGATCCTAATAAATATATTAGGGTTAGTTTACTGATTTTGTTGAAGAAATCCTATCATTCTTGCTCTTGGTGGTTTCTACCTCAACTAAAAAATGAACTATCAGTTAATAAAACCATGTCTTGTTATTCTTTGTCTTATAGTACCTAAGAGCTTAGAGCATTTTTTTTAGTTTATAGGAGACATGAAATGCTTTTTATTGTTATTGCTGAATGGAACCTCACTACCATTACCCAAAGAGGTTAGGACATACGTGGAGTATATGACTGTCCATTCCTAAAACTTGTGCATATTTTATATGTATTTGAAATAGGGACAGTGCTTTGAACATTCTTGGCTCTACCAAACTATTTAATTTCAGAGTTATAACAAAGACTGTATTAGAGCTACAGCAAATAACATATGTTATAAAAGCATTCCAATTGCCAGTAAAAACTAACTCATTCAAGAGAGACCATATAGAGTTCACAAATAATGTTATGCAACCCTTAAAAGAAAATGGGATTCCCAGACATGAAGAAACATGAGCCACAGATATTGGCAAACAGATTCAGAAACATTTCCAGGAAAAAAAAAAAAAAAGAAAAGAAGGCTTCATAAGATACCAACTCTGAGATCCTGTAAGATTCTTAGAGCAGACGCTTAGACACAAGGGCCCATCAGTAAACTCATTCCTAGTCAACCAATGTTGCTAAAGCATTAAAGAACAGAGAGATTAAAATGTGTTTTGCATGGGCAAGTTTTCCCCAGAGTTCTTCATTTTTATATAGGAAATCAATTTGCATCACTGATGATATCATTCAAATCAGACAACCCAGAGTTGTTAGGAGATAATTTAGTTTTATGCTGAAGCAATTTGATACTTGTTCTGATTTGTGATTTTCATTTTGTTTGTTAATGAAAAAAATTAATGAGCAATGTTACTAGAAATACAACTCCTCAATGCCGTGGCATTATTAAAGATGCCTGCCATATACTGTACACAGTGATCTTTATGCAGCTGGTGCCTGGCCCTCTGCCATGCAAGAGCCGTCAATCCAATAGCACAAGTAAGAGCTCCAGGGCTAGATGTACTTACACATACCTTTGCACTGATTTGTGTTTTTGTCAAGGATTGCCTTTGTGGATACAATTTTTCCATACCTGAAAGAGAGAGAGAAAAAAATCAATGTTATTGTACGCAATGAAGACACTTAAAACACCTTAATGAGCATTGGTACACACACAATTGAGCAGCAATAAACCAAGAAAACAAGCTCTGAACTCCCATTTCACACCTGGATGATCTCTTTTCACCAGTTCTTCTTTACAACTCCAGAATGTGCTTCCCTACGTAATCACTGGGCTGAACCTTCAAAAATAAACCTGTCAGTCTGCCACTGGTGGCTGAAAGGGGATTGCAGGTGATTGTGATCAAAGTAAATTGCACTCTGTGGATTCAGGGAAAAAGGCATGGACCTTGGTGCCAGGTTGAATACGGCTGGTGTCCTACTCTGGAGTTAACTTAGTGCTGAGCGCCTGAGCAGTAGAATGTGCTTTCTCCTCAGCAGTTTATCCATCTGTAACAATGAGAATTGTAATACACACCTCTCAGGATTTGAGAGAGGTGTAAATGAAATATTGAGATTTCCTAGCAGTGCTTCTAGGATAAATGGGACTTAATATTTTTGCTACTAATATATATATATATATAATTATATACATATAATTATATAATCGTATATATAAATATATATATAATTATACACACACACACACACACACACACTAGTGTAAGTTAATGGAGGATAAGGACTGAGTTTTTATTCTCAGCATCTGGCACCAATGCAACTTGATCTACAAATCTTTTACCAAAAATATCCACCAGAAATATATTCCGAATTATACCTTCTCTTGTAGAATATCTAGTCTAAGTTTGGTTTTCAAAAAGATGGGGGTTGAAACTTAATTTCTTTGGACCTATTTCCTAAGGAATGAAATGACAGAGCTGAAGATGATTCTTAAAACCCTGTCCTTCAAGTTGGAGAATCTATAATGTGGATTCAACTGTGAAGTTTATGAAAGCTCATATTATGCTTAGATTTGAGCCATAGTCACAAAATGTTTAGCAAATTTTCTTTCAATGCTATGTTTCTGAACAAATATAAGAATGTATGGAAATATTAAACAGCCCAATGTCTTAAAGAACCAGTTTCCCTATCACCAATGTTTCTTTTGCATTCCTAATCAATCTTTGCCATATCATTAATTCTTCGGAGCATTTTGGTGGTCATTAGCTAAAATTCTGGTATTGGTAATGACATAGTTCTAGAAATGCCATTGCCTGAATTTGTCAGACATTTTGACCAAAAAGTGGACTGAGGGTCCTCTAGAAAATGGCAGATGTTATTCCATCTACATCTTTGAAAATCATTCCAGGAGACGCTGAGCTACTGGGAGGTCACAAGAAAAATAGGAATATTTTTTATATAATCAGATAAAGGGGTCTGAGATTATTTCCACCAGTCACCAAAAAAAAAAAAAAAAAACCCTCTCTTATTAAGGTTACTCAGAACTAGATGGAGCTGTTCAATTCTGAATTGAGCACGTTTTGCCTGCTACTTGTAGTCTTTGCACCACTTCATTTCCGGTACTACTATAATGGTAATGCCACAGTTAACTACATTTCACAGATATAAAAAGTATAATTTGTGAAAGCAATAGCAAGGACTTATTTAAATGTGGAACTTTAAAGTTTGGTGCAGTGCTTAACTATATTATTTTGCTCTAAAATAGAGAGTGCTAGCTATCAAATCTTTTAGTTCAATCAGCCTCCATGTCTTTGTGAACAGAGGTATTATGATCTGGGGCAGTGGAGTGGTAGTTAAAAGAATATACTTGGCTACAAATTGCTATGACTCAAATCCTAGTTCGGTTTAGGTATATTTGGTTGAGGAAGTCTTACTTGCTCTTTGCTTCAGTTCACCATCTATAATGATATAAATCCACTTACTTAAATATTGATTATTTAAAATTATGTACATCTACTTTAAAATATATGGATGATGATTTTAGTGTCTAACTCAGAGTTATTGGCTAGGATAAAATGAGTGCTCAGCAAATATTAGCTCTTTTCCGATTACTCTCTTCTGTTCTCTGCTATATAAAAATGTCTCCAATCCTAGGCATTCTCTGTGCTAGATAAGAAGTAAAAGGGATAAAGATTCTGTTCCAAATGACAATGGCAATGTGACAAGTTAGTTTGTCAAAAATCTTCCACTAAGACATTCAGCAAGTAAAGTTATTTGCTAAAATGATAATTTATACATATCTATCATAGTCATTTCATTAACTATGTTCTTACTATACTAACATAAAGTTACCAATAAGTTCAAAGCTATTTTTCTTATTATTTTATATTACCAAAATATCAATTACCATACAAGTGCACTTCCTCCAAAATCCCTTATCTTCCACCCTCCTCTCTGTCTAACACACACCTACAGCTACAGCTTCTCTTTCAAACACTATTTCATCTCAAGGGGTTCTCTTTGAGGAAAATAACCAGTAAAATAATGTACTTCAGCAGCTACTTCAGTCTACAATGGTCTAAGGTACCATAATTGTACCCATTAACTATAGTAATGCCTGTTAATTTAAGCTATCCAGGCCAATAGACATTTTACAAATTATGTATCTTAGAGAAGACAAAAAAGAAGGAAATTTTTGATGCAAGCTCCCCCTCCCCCCCCCACACACAGCATTATTATGGTAGATGAGAAGAAAAAACCAGAGAGTAATTAGGTCATTTATAACCATGTCACATCAGGCACACAAACCCTTAAGACAAAAATCCTTCTTAATTGGTTTTTGAAGCTATTTCTGAAATTTTGTATAAGTACTTCTTAAATTAAAATTTAGTTCTGTCTTTTAAAAGGAAAGGGTCTCCATGGTGACCTAGGGGTAGTCTCAGCACTATCACCACGATGGCCTGAGTTCAAGCCCCAACCAGGGATCTAACTGATATGGCGCAGCAGACCTCTCCTGTCTTGCCCGCTGCTCCCCTCAGCAGTGTATTTCAATCGATCGAAATGTGCTGCTTCCCACTTAGTCATACTTAGTCATAAGTGAATATTCAGATCATCATCTATAATGATATATATCTATTTACTTAAATATTGATTAAGTGAATATTCTTACTACCCCCACACCTCTGACCTAGACCCCAGTTCTAACTTGCATAAATAAATAAATCTTTAAAAAGATGGAATTAAAAATGACTGTATCTCACAGTGAATTACATCTCACAATGGGGCTCTAACTCTCCAGTGTACACAATGTCTTACTGTATCACTATAACAAGGGCATCTTCGCCTTCATTAAATTTAGTGTATATAAACAATACCTATCATTTTCATAACAAAAAAACCAAGTAAAATGCTTCATTAAGGACAGCATTTGAATATTTTGGCAAGTGACTTTTTTTAACATATAAAAATTATTTCCCCCAGAAAGTATTACAGCTATAAATGGAAAATCACATACACACCCATACCCCAGAGCAAATCATGCTGTTTCTTCATTTCCCTTTTCCTATTTACAGTCTGGGTGAGACTTTCCAATCATGCACAACCACAGAGCGATGGGGCACAACTTAACTTGATTCAGCCTCCATTCTGACCCAGGTGACTTCATCTCTTGGCTCAGTTACAACATTCTGCACTCACAATTATTTTGCAATGCTGGAAAAGGCTTTGAACAGCAAGAGAAGGTTCTGAACTTCCCATTCATGTCTGAACTCTCATGAGAGCAAACAGGTTGTTCCTGTGTAACTGATTCACTGTTCTTTATGTGTGGCAAAGTCAACAACTGATACAGGCAAATAAAATTGATATTTTTCATTAAAGATCCAAACCACCAAGAACACAAAACTTCCAATAGAACATGCTTGTGAAAAATTATATTTGTCTTCTCTTCTTGTAGTTTATCAAAGTATATTCATAGATTGGAGTAAGGAAAAAAAACTGTCTATGCTAAAGATAAATTTTTTATACATTCTGAAGAAAAAAAGATACTTATGAGGGAAAAATATTCCTATACTACATGATCTCAAATACTTAGTCTTCCCCTTCTTAGGTTTTAGATCCAGCCAGACCTTAAAAATTTCTCTTTATGCCATCCATGAGTGGAAAGTAAAATCTGATATTAGAAAACATATCTGGCTAAATTACTGAATAATGTGTGGGGATAGACACCTAAGTACTGATCCTGTGTGCCTGCTGGCTTTGAAAGTTTTCAGACAAATCCAATTCATTGCTGTATGCTTTTATTTCCTACAGCTAAAAAAGATAAAATATTATCCACAGTCAACTTCCTTGGGGGGTTTCAATTTCTTGAGGGAAATAAATAAATGAAGTGAACAAATTTTCTACAGTAATAGTCTCCATGTGGGGTTTCAGTCCTTTTTCTAGCCCATGTGTGAAGCTGCTAACACAGCACTGCTAGAATACTTTTTTTCAAAGATTTATTTATTTATGCATTCAAGAACTGGGGTACAGGCGGGAGGTGTGGTGGGTGAGAGGATTCACCAAAGACAGAGTGACGAACAGAACAAGCAGATTGACTGAAATCACTGTTAAGGGAAGCAGCGGGCGAGGCAGGAGAGGTCAGCTGTGCCATGTGGGTAGTTCCCTGGCCGAGGATCGAACTGGAGCTGCAGTGGGTGCGGATAGCTTCATAGGTTGCGTCTTAACTCCTTGTGCCAGCAGGGAGGCCCCTGGAATACATTTTGTGTGTGTGTGTAGAAGAACTAGGGTGTAGGGCTGAGGGGTGGGGATTGAGAGGATTCATTAGAGACAGAGTGGGGAGCAAAGCAAGTAGATTTACTGAAATACACTGCTGAAGAGAGCAGCATGCAAGACAAGAGTAGTCTGCTGCAACTTATGTGGTTAGCTCCCTTGCTGGGATCAAACTCAGGCCTTAGTGGTGATAGCACTGAGATTTAGCCCTTAGACCACAAGGGAGGCCCCTCGAATACTTTTGACATAAAATATGCAACTCTGCATCATATCTACACATTTACTAACTACACTAAGTGCCCATAGTCTCAAAATAAAGCCATGATCCAATTAACATATCCTTTATGTTCTAAGAATACTAAATAA